TCTGCCTCTGGACACCTGTGGCTCAAGTCCCAGGTCCATCACTCCTTGCTAAGTGGCCACATGACACCAGAATTGTCATGACTGTCCCTTTACAAATGGGAAGCCCAGAGAAGTCGATTCACTGTCCCCAAGTCTCCAAGCTAGTAGGTGGCAGAGCCAGAGACCCGCTCCAAAGCTTCTATAACCTCCAGCCAGCACTATCTTCCAGAGGAACAGAAGCTCCCCCAAATGGAAGGACACAAACTGGCCTTCCAGAAGCCTTGTCCACCTACCCAGAGAGCGAGCCTTGGGCAGGACCTGAGGGTCTCCTTTCTCGAATACACTAGAGCCTCAGGCCTCATGCCGCAGGCCAACCTATCAGTGGGACGCTCACCACCGATAGCACCGTCCCCAGCTCATTACCACTCACTGCCCTGGATTTTAGGTTGGGTTTAAGCCTGAGGCCATGGGTGCTCCAAAGATAAGGTCTGGGGGAGACATCTGGACAGCCCTGAGGTTTGAGCATCCCAGAGGTCACAGACCTGAGTCAATCTGTGGTTCAACCCCACTCCACCTCTGACATTCTGTGACCAGGCAAGGCACCTGACCTCTCAGCCTCAGTGTCCTCATCCATGCCGTGGGGAGAAGGGAGCCCACTTCATAGAGGGGAGAGGAAAATCCTGTTGAATGACGCATGAAGTAACTTTAGCACATAGCAAGCCCTCAGTACATATTAGGTCATACTATTTAGCTCCCTCTTTCTGCTACACAGACAGCCAGGGACCTAGGTGCCCTCCACCCAATCTTTTGGGAGGGGATATTGACTAAGCCAGCCAGGCAAGATTCCCAGCAGCCTGTTCTCATCAGCACCATGCAGTCCTGCCCTGGGACAGAGGGTCCCAGTGGGGTGGGCAGGGCACTGGCACCCCCCTTCCCCAGCCAGGATGAAATCCAGATGTGAGGCTCTTGGAAGAAACAGGGTGGAGTCCTGTCTCCCCAGTCACATCCGGTGTGGGGAAAGCTGGGAGGGGGTGATGGGATAGGGGAGCCACATGAGACCCATCTGGGAGGTCTTGGCTGGGGGACTGGGCAGCTGCTGCGCTCAAGTTATATGAGCCAGTGAGGGGGCGTGCAGCCCCACAGCGAAAGGGGACGTGAGGAGGGGGAGATGGCATTTGTTTCCATGAAAGCCTGAGTCACACACCACCCCCAAGGAGAATCGAGCCATGGGGGGAAGGGGCGGGAAGAGATGCGTGGGCCGAGAAGATGAGAGGCCTACATCGCGGCCTCTCCCCAGCTTGGGGGGCGTCTCAGAGGAGCTGGTGCAGTGTCTGCTGTTCACACCAGAGGCCCGGAGGAAGCTCCAGTCTTTAGCTAAATTGGGGGGGGGCATGGGACATGTCCTCCCCAGGTCCCTAGAAACACGCCCGGCAAAAGCCACGTGCGTGCCTGGAACACCGTTCCAGAAAAGGCTGGTTAGGCCGGTTCCTAGTGAGACTGGGAGTGATGGGGGGCTTCCGGGGTCACATAGCCATCTCAGTCCCTGGACACCCCCTCAGAGGGGTGCCCTGGCCCCTGGCCCGACAGGCAGCTGCTACCCCTGGACGAAGGGGCACCCGTCCTAGTTTGGAAACAGAGAAGGGCTTGTGCACATCCCCGGGGAATGCTGCCCTGCCCAGATCGCCACACAGAGGCCCCTTGTTCCTCTGCAGGACAGGGCCTGGGGAGCACTGATGCCCTCTGCTTGCTGCAGCCGCCGGGAGTCGGCTTGCCCCGAGGCTGGGCTTTACCAGACCCGCCGGCGGGCCAAAAGCAGCGCGAGCTCAGATTGGCCCATTTTCAATCCCAGGGCATTGAGCGATTCGCCTATTGGCCTGAGCTTTTCGTCCTCGGCATTGATTGGCCCAGCTGGGGCGCTCTCCAGCCAGCTCGGCGAGTCTGGTCCTTCGCTGGCAGCTGGAATTCACTTCTTTGCAAGGACAGATTAAGGCCGTGTGGACGTCCCTGGGGAGAGTTTGAACCGCGGCCTGACCGCCGGATCACCCCAACCAGACGCTCCCAGGCTGCCCTGGCCTACTGGGCCCCGCCTGGGGTTCAAAATTGAGAGTCAAGCCCTCTTCGCCGGCCTGGAAAGCACTCTTGACAGTGGGCGCCCGAGAAGCTCACAGCGTGTCCCATGGCTAGGCGCCGCTTTACCCCCCTCGCACGGGGCCACCACTTCTCCCATCTGGCGGCCAAGAGATTTATGGCCACTTCCTGGGGAAATCAGAAATGGGTTCAGTCTTCACACCCCAGGGATTGACCAAAAAGCCTGTTTTCTTCCCTGATGAGAAGACTATAAACACTCACTTTCTGTGGCCCCAGTAGGCTGTCATGGCATCCTCGGAAGGAGGGGTGGCTCTCCCAGTAAGAGAAGGGGAACTGAGGCCCACTGCCTCCCTTCTCTCATCCTTCCCTCCAGGACTTTGCCAGAGACGAAGCTTAAGTCAGGTTCGTGTTTCCCAGAAAGAGGAAACTCGGCCCCGAGTTTGGGACCAGGAAGAGTTACCCCCCCGGGGAGATATAGGCCTGGCTTGCTTCCCCTCCCTGTGCCGGGCCAGCAGGCTCCCAGGGCCTGTCTCCTGTTCACCTCCACCAAGGCAGCCTGGACTCCCTCCCGGGTATCACCCAGCTCAGAACAAGGGAATTGCCAGGCCAGGAATGGAGTAAGAGCGACAAGGGACAGGGTTTGAAGAGAAGGGAAAAGACAGACCACGACTGTTCAGTGGGAGATAAGGAGAAAGGAAGGCTGGAGGAAGTCTCCGCGGCTTCCAGGAGCCCCTCCCCCTAGTTCCACTGAGGCAGGCCCTGTACTGACAGTTCCTGTCATTCACTGATTCCATGCCCCTTGCCTTAGGGCTGCAGACTAACCCTTTTGGCAATTTTTCTTTTGGTTTCCCTTCAGGAGTCAGGAACCCCCCTACCCTGCCATTTTCTAAGCAGCAGCCAGGGGGAGCTTTTTAATGTATAATACCAATGTCAGTTCCCAGCTGCAAATTCTTCCATGCTCCCTACTGCTCAAAATGGCCTGGCCCTTGCCCATCTGGCATCCTCCCACTCTCTCCTAGGGTCACTCCACTCCAAGCACTCTGGCCTCCCGCGTGCTACCCCATCTTTACCTCAGTACTTTTGCTGCTGCTGTTTCTCCACCTGGCACACCCTTCCCCGAAATCCTCAAATAACTTTCTCCTCACCTGTCAGTTTCAGTGTTCAGGTCACTTGCTCAGAGGGGCCTCCTCTGGCCACCAGCCTACCACAGCTGCCTTCCCCAAGCCTTTCTAGCTCAGTGTCTTGATTTATTATCTTCACAGCACTTGCCATTTTCTGAGATTATTATTGTATTTCTTGTTCTCTGCTTGGCTTCCATGGTAGAATGTATCAGAGGCCAGCGGCCAAGCCTGTTTTCAGCCTCTATGGAATGATGCCTGGTATACAGAAGGTGCTCAGAAAACGTTTGTGAGGGAGGGAATATGGGAGAGATGAATGGATGAATGATTGAAAAAACAAGACCTCAGTGGGCCCCCCAAGGGCAGGAGGCTCCTAAACTCAGAGCAGCCCCAAAAAAGAGCAAAAGAGACTAGAGAACCTCTGATGCCTGGCAGGTTCCCCCACCAGGCGCGGCTCCGTGGAGACATTGACAGGACCCGCCCCTGCTCTCCGCTGCAATCTCAGCCTCCTTATCTGGCCGTGGAATGCGCGGTATCCACATTCGCCCTGCTTGGGCCGCGCCTCCTCTCCTGCGACAGCCACACGCAGGGCACCCCACCTCTCCAAGTGGGGGTGGGGGATTCCCTTCATCCCTCCACTAGGTGCAGGGTTCCCGCCTAGATATTGTTGGAGGATTGGGGATAGGGTGGGGGGAGATCCCAGCAGCAGCCGCATCGCGAGTGCGGCACCCGCGTCGCGCCACGCGGGGGACCGTGGGCTTAGCGCGTGGCGCCTAGAGCGTCTGACTGGCAGAGTCGGGGGAGGGGGTGGAAATCCCCGGGTGAGTCAACCCGTGCCCAAGGAGGGGGCAAGGTTCCGTCGCTCTGTTGGGCCCCCGGACCACGCGGGTCCCACGCCACGCGCGTCGCACCTCCGGGCCCCAAAGGAAATAAGAATCACTGGAGCCATTTAGTCACGTTCCCTTTCCTTCCAGAACAAAGCCACGCCCCCAAGCCGGGACTGGAGGAGACGAACTACTCGGGGAAACTGAGGCAGGGTGCCCGCTGTGCAAGCAGTGTGCGACGGCCCTCCCCCGGGGCTCCGCCCCTTGTCCTGGTGGGTCGGCGGTGCGCTGCACCTTTCGCCCCTACCCAGCCGGAGTCAGGCAGGAGGGGCGCCATGCCCCTCATGCACATTCCCCAAGCCTCCGGTCCTCGGGCACGCCATCCTGCCTCCCAGTCTCCGGCCGAAAGTGCTCGGATTCCGCCTTCTCCTCGGCGCCAACTTCCTGCCGCTGGGGAAGGCGGGGAGCTCAGTCTAGGGGTTCGCGGCCGAGGCAGCGGGGGCCGCCTGCAGTCGCGGAGAGGGCTCACGGGGACCACTCCCTCGGTGCAGCAGGAGCCCGGGCGGCGCGTGCGCGCCCCAGTGCGCCCCCGACCCCTGGCCGGGCCCACCAGCTCCGATCCCGCGACCTCAGGGGACCGGGGCCCGCCCTTTCTGCCTCCCGCTCGCCACACATGCTCACCTGGCTAGGCCGGCCCGGGTCCCTACCCTGGCCGGAGGGGCTTTGGCGTCTGCGTCCCCGGGACGGCCGCGGCTGGGGCTAGGGCTGCCCGCCGGGCTCGGCTGAGTCCCGGGGCTGGGGACCGGGAACAGAGGGGGGCGGGGAGAGGCGCCGCCTCAGCCCCCCGGTCGCCCCGCCCTCCTCTCCTCCCCTTTCCGGCGGCTGCTGCAATGAATTCCAGATGTGGCCGGCCCGCCGAGGCGCTCACGGGGGCCGGCGGGGAAGGCGTGCGGGGTCCCTTTGTCCGCACCCCCCACCTCCCGCCCAGCCCCTCCCAGCCCCCACCCGTGAGAATCGGCCAGCGCATGACATCACGCAACCCCGTGACGTCACTTCGCTCCTGCCAGGTAGCCTCCACGTAAAACGACCGTTCTTAATTGCAGATATATTCTTGGTCCATGCCTGGGACTCTGACATCGGAGGAGAGCATGGGATCCACTTCTTTTACTCAACAAAGGGGCCGCGAAGTCCCCACTGTGTATATGTATCAACGCAGCAAATAGGCATCAAGCACCTACTGTGTGTTCAGGCAATAAATAATCAAGTTCCTATTATGGGCCACGCATCACTTCAGAATCAGAATAGGTTTTCGCCTTGATAAGACCTCAGAATTCAGGTGCTGCCCTGTGTTGTCTAGAAGACTGGAGCACCCAACAGCACCCTTCCCCTGTGGATGGGTCTTGCGCTGTGGAAGACCAGCAGACCCAGGTTGCGCCCTGCCTCCAAGTAGGGGTCCAATTTTCTATCCGGTCCTTTCGTTGCCTTCTTTTCTCCTTCAGATTTTGCCGGGAATCTCTCGGGAACGAGACACACCTACATTTACTGGTGTGAGTGTGTAAAATCATCACAGACGGCATGCTAGGTGGGAGAGCCCCTCATTCCTTCCACAAAGGTTTCTGGTGCACCCCGTGGTCCTGCTATGACGAAACAGAAAAAAGAAAAAAAGTCCTCATCCTCATGGAGCTGAAATCCAGGTGAGAGAGACAGCCTTTTGGGAAGGTACTACTGGTGAAAATGTATACACAATTTGCTTATATGTTTATTTGCCAAATACATTAAGCACCCACTGTGTGCCAGACACTATTCTAGCAGGCTGGAGATACATTGGAGCAAAACAAACAAGACTCCCTGTCCGCTTGGATCTGATGTTCTACCCCTGTATGTGCTCAGAACATCCAGAATATTTCAGGAAAGAGGAAACTGCTCAATTTCCTGGGAGATGTATTGAAAAATAGAGAAGAGGGTGTGGGAGGGAGGCTATTTTTACTCTCTAACCTTTCTGTACCTTTTGGCCTTTGTAACATGTGTATATGTGCCCTATGCCAACCATAAATTAAATTACAAATGAAGACTGCCTGATGCTCAGACATGTAATGGAAAGGAGGGAAAGGGCAGGGGCAGTCGTCTCTATGTATATTATACTTCAGTAAAGAGTGTTGGAAAGCTAATAATGAAAAAGGGTATTTGCACTCTCATGTTAATTGCAGCATTATTCACAATAGCCCAGACAGGGAAACCACCTAAATGCCCAATGACGGATGAATGGATAAAGAGGCGGCGATATATACAATGGAATATTATTCAGCCATGAGAAAGAAGGAAATCCTCTCATTTTTGACATGAATGAACTTTGAGGGCATTATACTAAGTGAAATAAGTACGAGAGAGAAAGACAAGACAAATATCTCATGGTATCACTTATATGTGGAATCTTAAAAAAAAAAGGTCACACATAAAAACCAAGAGTAGGCAAGTGCCACAGGCTGGGGCAGGGCAGCGGGTGTGTGAATAGGTAAGGCCTGAGGATCTAATGTCAAACATGGTGACTATAGTTAATAATACCACATGGTATAACTGAAACTTGCTAAGACAGTGGAACTTCCAATATTTTCACACACAGACGAAAGATAAATGTCGCAGTGATAGCTGTGTTAAACTAGATGGGGGAAATTCTTTCACCATGTATCCATATATCAAATCATCGTGATGGAAAGTATAGCATTGGGAATATAGTCGACAATATTGTAATATCTTTGTGTGATGACAGACTAACTGCACTTATGGTGAGCATTTAGAAATGTATGTAACTGTCGAATCACCATGTTGTACCCCTGAAACCAATATAATATTGTATGTCTACTCTATTTCAATTTTTTAAAAATGTAAAAAAGGAGAGGAAAATATCACAATGTGCACTTTAAGTATCTTAAATTTTGTATGTCAGTGACGCTTCAATGAAGCTGATAAAAAAAAAATTAAGGTTGCTTGTACCCAGACAATGCAACCAATGAAAAGAACGTGAAAGTTCTGTGTACTCTCCTGTATGTACATTATACTTTGTAAACAGGGTTGAAAGCAAAAAAGAAAATTAAAATTGATCTGTTGATGCCTATTGCAAAGTAAAAATGGAGTAATTTTGATGTGAAACTACCTTCACCAGTAAGTTGAAAAAAGCCCAATGTAGACCAGTGTGCCTTGCTTGCTTGCATTTCTGGGTGTATTTATAAGGGGTGTATAAATACACACACATTTGCCTGTGGACTCACAGGCCATCTCCTCAGGGAGAAGGCACAAGACATTGTCACGGTGGTTACCCTCAGGAGGACCTGGGGGGGCAGGGAAACAGGTGAGAGGGGGCCAGACTTTTCATGGTGTACCTCAGGGGACTGTTTGAAAATTTTACCTCCTATTACCAATTCAAAAAATTACCAAGGCACAGAAAAAATCAAATACAGGGTAACAAATCACCAGGCTTCCAGTTGTAAAATCACTCCTGTAATAATAATGATAATAAATAATGTCAATAACCAATAACATTGCTAGGATTAATGACATTAATCAACAGCAGGGTTATGAGTCAACATATCATTATTAAATACATTTCTACTAAGAATAAACCTATCTAAGTTACTAGCAAATAAATATTAAGAACCAATACATGAATGCTACAAATATGTATGCAGCATATATATTCATATCGTGCTAGTCTAGTGATGCTTCATTGGTTTCTGTCATCCATACCTGACAGTCATTGGAGGAGATAAAGAAGAATCCAGACAATTCTAACACAGGGTAGCAGGGCTTTGATGGGGAGGCCAGAAAAGCCAGAGAGTAACTTTGCCCCTTTTCTTCAGTCAGGTTTCGGTGTCCTTTTGGTTCCGGGCCAGATCTTGGGAGCCACTCAGACCTTGGCAAAGCCTCACCGAATTCTCTGCCAAGCAGAGTGTGTTGCCTGGACAACCTCTAGAAACCAGGTGTTCAACCCACAGGGGACAAAACACAAAGAAAACTGGGTCCTCTCCTGGCTGAGGAGCTATCGGAGCGGAAATCTCAAGCCTTCTGCGGGGACCTGAAGGCTGGGGAGGAAGTGCCCCCCTACGCTTGCTTGGCTGGCTCAGCAGTTTGCCATCTCCTCTCTCCCCTCCACCTGGGGACCTGGGGGTGGGGGTGATGTCAAGGCCACAGACATATCCAGCTGTCTGTTAGGGCGACTGATCCTAGACAAAGATAATAGCCCCAGGGACACGCAGATACACCAATAGACGACTTCCGCCTCTCTCTTCCCCACAACCCTGCCCCTCCCGTCTCCTACTTCTGGGGCAATGCGAGGTCTCCGCTGGTCAGCTGAGGGAACTGGCTGGAGAACTAGAAAACGCTGGAGGCCTAGACTTCCTGATGGCCTGGGGGGTGGGGGTCAAGGAGAAAGCTGGGTCCTGCCCTAGGGGAGCCGCTGAGTGAGAGGAAGGAAAGGGGCCCCTTTTCGTGGGGACCTCCTGGGCAGGGGACAAAGAGAAGAGGGAAGAGGCTTGGACCAGCCCCCCCTAATTATAGGGCCACTGACAATAATGGCTAAGGTTTACCCCACACAGACCAGGGGGCTGGGGTGGCTCTATGAATCCTCACCACCCAGGAGATGGGTATTATTATTTTCATCATCCTGCTATTTTTCATTTAATTGTTTGAAAATAATATAAAATTGTTTCGTGTATTGACTATAATATCAGAAATGTGCTTCAGTTCTTTCGGATGAAGGCAATCATCCCATTTTTTTTATAGACTTTATTTTTTAGAACAGTTTTAGGCTCACGGCAAAATGGAAAGTACAGAGATTTCCCATGCGCCACCTGCCCCCACACATGTACTGCCTCCCCCATCAAGGGAGGTGCATTGGTTACTACTGATGAACCCAGATGGGTTTATCACCCCAATTTTACACTGGGGCTCACTCCTGCTGTTGTCCATTCTGTGGGTTTGGACAGATGTAAAATGACATGCATCCATCGTGACTGCTCCCCAAATCCTCTGCTTTGCCTAGGCATCCCTCCCGCCTCCCTGACCCCCAGCAACCACTGATCCTGCCACAGTCTCCACAGGGCAGCCTAGTCCTCATCACCCCATTTTAAAGCTGGAGGAGCAGAAGCAGGCAGTAGGGTGGGATGTAAACTAGAGCTCTCTGCCCCCTGGTTCCTCTAGAATCCCTGCCCCATGGAGTCAGGAGGTCAGTATTCACTGCCCAGGAACACATCAGTCACTGGGGAGAAGTGGAATGCTCGTCTTGGTAATCCAGAGGTGAGGGAACCCTCTGACCTCTGATTCTATACCCCAAATGCTGTGAACTCCCCCTAGTCAATGAGGCCCAGACCCCACTTTGGCAGGCTTTTGGCAGAAGGCTCTGAATGAAGAGAAGTGTCTGAGACAAGTCCCAACTTTCTCATCGGCCCCAGCCCTGGGAGGAGGGGCCCCAGCTGCTGCCTGGAGACTTTCCAGATGGTGATCTGGGCAGGCTGCAGCGGCCTCGTCTCATCCATGGGCTCAGGGCCCGCTCTCGGCTTCAGGGAAGGGATGGAGGCCAGTCCCTGACGTGACGATACCAGATGCATCTTTGGCCCTTCCAGCTTGGCAAGGGTGGGCTCCCTTTTTTGCACAGTGAGGAGAGAGGGGAATGCCAGAACCCCCTTCCCCCAGCATCATAATAACAGTTGACACATAAATACTGTGTCAGAAAAAGCTAACCTTTTCAAAGAATATTGCTTCTCTCTCACTTACCAACTTTACATTTATTTCCCTGTATGGCCCTGGAAGACAACTGGTTAGCCAGAGACGGGTAAGATTCCTCAAGGAAGGAACAACCTAAGACAGGCACAGTTACAGGGGGGCCATCAGGTGAGAAAATGGGGATCAACAGAGGTGAGGCTTAGAACCTCACCCCCCCTGCTTTGAGAGAAATCTTCTGCATCCGTGGATGTTTTGCTGCCCTTGTCTAGCTTGGATTAATACTTAGTCCATAGGCACAGACCTGATCATCTACATTTGCCCTCTTACAGCACTAAACTATGTTTTCTACCTTTATCTTGCATCTACCTACCACTTCAGCATTTTATTTTAAAAAATAATAACAATAAGGGAGAAATGTGGGATTCACATATAAATCAAGTATAAAAATCAAACGAATAATCATATCTGACTTGATTGTTTATAGTTCATGATGCTTAATCAAAACCGAAAGTTTCTGTGATATGACTGCCCTTGCACTGTTCACCATGTAAGAACTTGTTCTCCATGTAAGAACTTGTTCGTTATGCTTCAGAAGATTGGAGACTGTTGAGAATTAGGCTTGGGGTGGATTAATGATTGTGCATTGAGTCCCCTATACAGAATTTTATTGTTGTTAACAACCATTTGATCAATAAATATGAGAGATGCCCTCTCAAAAGACAGAAAAATACTGTGTCAGTTACTGTTCCAAACACTACAAATATCAGCTCCTCAAAAGCTCACAGCAGATCCTCCATTAGGGAACAAATAGACAAACCGAGGCCATCCTTATAAAGAGGACCACTCAGGAATACAGCTGACCCTTTAACAATGCAGGGTTTAGAGGCACCAACAACCACCCTACACACACACACACACAGTCAAAAAACTGAGTACGACTTTTGACTCCCCCAAACTTAACTACTCGTAGCCTCCTGCTGACTGGAGGCCTCACTGATAACAGAAACAGCTGGGAAACATGTAGTTTGTATGTTCTATGTGTTACTTACCGTATTCTTACAATAAAGTAGGCTAGAAAAAAGAATGTGTTTGTCAAATTGTCACAAGTCTACAACAAACTATCAAAATTAGAAGTCACCAACACATTATAATTATGGAAAAAAGCCAGATCCAAAGGCCATATGTATGATCCCATTTCTATGACGTTCTAGAAAAGCCCACCCTATAGGGACAGCGCCAGTGGTTGGCAGCACATAGGAATGGAGGGAGGGAGGGACACGAAAGGGCATGGGGGGTGGGAGGGGAGTTTTGGTGACCAAACCATTCTGTAGCTTCTTTGTGGTGGTGGTTACATGATTAAATATGTTTGTGGAAACAGGCAGAACTGTGTACTGTACACACTTTATTTTATTTAAATTGTGTCTTCAGACAAAAACAAACAAAACCCTTCACAGTTGCCTTACATCAGTCAGGGTCTACTCAGGGAGAGCGGAATGTACAGTACAGAGGACATTTAATACAGCCACTGGAGACACAGATGAGAACCTGAAGTGGAGGAGGGGTGAGACTCCAGAAGTGAGCAGATAGGGAGGCCGTGTCCATTGGGAGGTGCTGCCGAAGCTAATGGGGAGAAATACCCAACAAGCTTCTCCTATGCTCCTAACCTCCCACCTACCCTCCGTGCCTGCCAATGGCTAAATCTGAGTAGAAGACAGTGGGCAAGGGAGATGTCATACGAAGGGCCAGCGCTCAGCCACGATCTGAGGGAATGGAGGCTCCAGGCTGATATGAAGCTTGCGAGGGAGGGCCAATTAAGGCCCCACCTTACAAAGGAAGAAACTGAGGCCCAGGAGAGTGCAGGGGCCCTGCCCATGGATTCAAGCCCTGAGCAGGTCTGATTCTCTGCCAAAGCCTGGCTGGAGAGCTGGCTGCCTTTTGCCCATGCCCCATGGTAGCTGAATGGCGGGGACCATGGCGAATCTATGCAAAGCAGGCCCATCCCCAGGGGCAGGATGCTTCAGCAGCAGACTCCTTGTCCTCACTGGCTGCACAGCGATTACCCACAAACTGAGTTGCAAACAAACATGTAGCAGATGTGTCGGCACTTGGTGGGGGGACACTTTAAACAGCTGTCACCCCAAAGGTCGGATTCCCCCCATCAAGCCTGCATGCACACCTTGCACCTCCTATCTGAGGGCTGCTCCCTAATACCACATGCTTGACCTCTAGTGTTTGCAGAAACCCTTGCACACTCATGGGGAGCCAGATCTGGGGAGTATCCAGCTTTCAATGTGTACTCCCTAAATTGTTATCATGCCAGTGACCAGCAGAGATCCTCTCCAGGCTACTAGGCTGACACAGGCCCCACGCCACTGGGGACAGAGGTCCCTGGCAGTTGAGCCTTTGATCCACAGGAGTGGGCTAGACACATCAACCTTTGACCTCTATCCAGGCTTGGGTCCAAAATGGTCAAACTTTGAGCCCCTCCCTTTCACTAAGGCTCCCATCAATATGCTGGTCGGGGAGCCCTGTGCAAACTGCTTTCTCTGCACTGCATTTGTTCAAAGATTAGGTATTGAGAACTTTACTGGGTGCCTGGCACCCCTCTTACCAATGAGGCCCAGCAGTAAGAGAAACAAAGACCTCTGTCCTCCAGTTGCTGATGTTCCAGTGGGGGAGACAGACAAAAAGCAGAATAAATAGGAACATGGTGTCATCTGTTAGAATGTGGTGAAACTTCTGGAAACAATGTCACCAAGAAGGCAGATGGGAAATGCGGGGAAAGAAGCGAACAGTGATTTTAGACCCAGTGTCACCTGAGAAAGTGACAATTGAGTAAAGACTTGAAGGAGGGGAGGGAGAGAGTCATGTAGATGTTTAGGTGAGACGGTACAGGTGATGGAAGCACCAGTGCAAAGGCTCTGAGACTGGGGTGGAATTGACAGGCTCTGGTGAGAAGACCACAGAGTGCTAGAGGGGAAGGGTGGGAGGAGGTAAGGGCAGGTCCTGCAAGACTTTGTGGACTGTACGAAACTTTTGGCTTTTGCTGTAAGTAAAATGAGATGCATGGAGGTTTCTGAGCAGGACATGCCAGACTCAAGTGTTTACAGGTGTCTTCTGTGAGTGGAGAAAGACTGTGGGGAGTAGGACGTAAGAAGAGAAGTCTGATCGTCCACACAGCTCAACTGGGGAGAGCTTGGGTGTGTCCCACTCTCTGATTAGGAGACTAAATTCCAAAAGAGCCAACCACTTGCCCAGGGACACCCAACCATTTATTGGGTACTTTATGTGCTTGTCACCTCAGAAGCACAGAGATTGTGAGACCTAGGGGACCAAGGGAGAGCTTTGTTTCTCTCAATACACCCTCAACAGGACACTGAGCAAAGGAATTCACTCAAGAAACATGTCTTGAGACCCTATTGTGTTACAGGTCCTATGCTTGGAGCTGGGGCTACAGCAGGGGACAAGACAGGACATTTCTGCCCTGGGGGAGCTTACACTCTAAATGGGGACAACAAACAAAAAGCATAAACAACCATAAAGATAAGATGTTTGAAGATAAATGCTCATAAAAAAACAGAACAGGAGAAGGGGGATCAGAAGCCAGGGATGGGGTTCACAATTTTATACAGGGTGGTCAGGACAGGCTTCTTGGAAGAGGTGACTTTTGAGCAAAGAATGGAAGGAGATGAGGGATTGAGCCACATGCTATTCTGGGAAAAGGATGTTTCAGGCAGAAGGAACAATAGTGCAAAGGCCCTGAGGTGGGTTCAACATAAATGAATGAGCCAACAAACAAAGCATGTGGCCATCAGTAAGGGTCCAGCCACCCCGGCCCCCAGCTGCTCTCCCCACATCTGGCTTTTGCAA